GATCACTACAAACGTACATTCGTCAAAGTAGATGTCAACGCATTGATAATACTTTCAACATTTTCTGCGTCCAACTCGTTTATGCATCGTTTCTCACTGCTCTGAAGGACTTTATCGTAATTATTAAGGTTAAAGATGATACAAACATGATCTAAGAAGTGAATTCCCTTCGAATTTTCGTTGCATTAGGTATTGAGAGTTTTCCGTGGCCCATTTATAGATTCTATAGGCCATACAGCAATAACAGAGACGGGAATGATGGTGAACATTGGGAAAAAATAAACTTTCTTGTATATTTGATCTGGAAAAGCCAGCATCATTAATGATGTGTTCAGTTTTTTTACAAAATTCATACTAGCATTGTTCAGATCGCGTGAAAAATCCAGTATATCAGTTATAGGCATAACAGTACTTTCATGAAGTTTGAAATTTAAAAAAAACATCTACGAAAAGTTTGTTAGTGGATATATTAAATAAGTGATAGAAGCACTGAGGACCTGATCATGCATATGAATTTTGTTATTTGGCCCAACATCATCGCTAACATCTCTAATTGTTGCTCGCTTAAAATCGTTCAATCGTTCCAAACGATTCATTCTTGAGACGGGTTTGAATGTGACTGGTGCACTTGAGCCACGTATCGCCGAAGACGGCTCTTAAATTTATCGCTATAACGATTAGAAGAACTCATGAAAAATTCAACATTCACTATTGCAATGCTGATAAGCAATTTGTGTTTATTTCAGTTTGTTCTGATTGGGTTCTCAATGGAATTTCTAGTCATTTGCATCGTTCCACAATAAAATGAATAAATAGTGATGAAATTTTACGAGATTCAGCGTGCTCGTTTGCCTCTGGTAACGCATCACGTGCAGTAACTGAACGAACGATATCAATCGCCTTTCGTGGCGTTTCTATCACCTAAAACGATCATCTCATAATTATCATTCCACAAAGAATCCAGCAAATTGGTAATATCTAGCAGTTAACATCATTATCAGCGTCCTCCTATCATTGCTACCATCATCCTCACCATTACTGGTGCTAGAATGATATATTATTGTTACGTTTGTTTGTGTGTGTACAATAAGAGTTTCAAAAGCAATTGCACGAAGTGGGCAGATGAAGAGAATGCACTTCAAGTCACAAATCATATAATCTATTGTGCCGGAAGAAATGAGTTATTGATGGAGATGTGAAGTATCGGGAATTAATTACATCTCTGCCCGATTTAATTACATTGGGGAATTAATTCTATTAATTACATTAAAGTTTTTGAGAATCACAAGGGCGACACCGGTGACGGAATAGTGCTAATGATTGTCAACTAACGCTAAGCATTCTGCGTTGATAGCATACAATTTTTTGATACTAATTAAATTGCCCTTACCGATTTCGCAAAAAAAAATCACATGGACACTGAGCAAACCTAGACTGACCGTTTGCCTAAGAACGGTACTGAAGATATTGCTCTAGCACTACATTATTGATCAACACATTGTTCAAATTCATTAAACGGTTGAATAACCGTTCAATCACTTAATACCTTGATTGGTTCCATAGATTCTGAAAGTGCATAAACATTTTTGAATGTATCTCCAAAACTCTCCACATCGTTCATGGATGAAGCAGCACACAGGCCATCGTCATTCAGCTGGAAATACCTATATTGAAGGCAATACAATAAATTCAACTTTATACTGCTCTAAATTTGATCAGTCCCACTGCATTTTTATAAACCATCTTAATCGTTTCATCACAGTTGCATCATTTAAAATGTATCTATCAGTCGATGTGATGTTTCATTACAATATTCGTTCACTATTAATATTATGCATGATCCATTGCATAACATGACTGTCTCCGATAAATATTTCAAAGTTTGCTCTGTTGGTTGCTAAACCATTTTACCGTCCAGATTTCAATATCTGTTACTGGATGATACAATACGAATTCTGTCAGGCTCACCTCATATCGATGAAGAGTGGAATGAGTTTTTGAAGCAGATACAACAGCAATATCATCCACCTCATTCTTTACTGCTTTCCCTCTATTTTCGTTTAACGACCCGGCTGAAATGACCAAATGTTTTCTTTTGGCTGAAATGACCGAATGTTTTCCTTTGTTTCAGGTTTGAGCCAAACCACACATTATATCCATACGGAATTCTAAGGCTGAATGCGTACGCGCATATCTCATCCACTAAGCAATCAAGTGCTCTTGATTAGACAACAAGTTATGCGGAGAAACTCTGGTCAAAAGTGGCAACAAGGAATGAATGATCAAACAGCTATGCTTACTTGCGTTATTAAGTGTTTGTTCCATGTTGCCATTCGTCGATTTAGCCGTGTGCTTATGATCATTCTTCATCGAATCGCTATCAAGCTGCATAAAACTTAATCAGCAACAGTT